TCGAAGGCATGTCCGCAGACTGTTGCGTGGGATCCGATCATAGGCATTTTTAGGTTAACAAAACACATCCACACCGGACGGGCATACACCCACGATTTCTAACAGTTGGCGCAGGTCAAATGTAGGCCAGAGATGCTTCGACCTGCAAGGAAGCCACGCTGCTCTTCTAGTATCTTGAGGTTAGTTGTTCCGCGGCATCTTCTTTCTAGCAGCTGTACGTAGACTTTACCTGTGAGGCTCAGTGAGGTAATGTCCTGATAAGTGCAGCACTCCCTGTATTCTCCCTTCTGAATAGCGGTACAATAACTCCCGTTCTCCGGTCCTCTGGAGTCTTTCCCGCAGTCATCGCAGTTTCATATACATGTGTATGCCAGCACATGCACTGTTCGCTGTGCAATTCAGAAGGGACTTCATCAATTCCAGCAGCCTTTCTATTTTTCAAGTTTTTGATAGCTTGTACCATTTCATCTACAGAGATAGTAATATCCGTACCCTTCTGCTCTACAGGCGAGTCTTCCTGCGGTAGCTTGGTGTTAAAGAGTTTATGAAAGTACTCCTTTCATCGCCGAGAAATGTTATCATCCTTGGTAAAAGGGCGTCCAGATCTGTCCTTCATGACTTAAAACTGCCCCTCGTTTTGTCTCGGATCCGGCGGATTGTCTGACAGAATACTTTGTTTGCCGTGTGGAAATTGACTCCAACACCTCACCAAACTTCTCCCAGGAATCACCTTTGGCTTTGGCTACTGCCTTTGCTGCCCCTTGCGTGGATCGACATGTTGCACGCGAGTAGAAGGCTGTTTGTTTCCAAGCCCTCTTATGACTACCGTCATGTCGATGCACTTCGCTTACCAAGAAAGTAGGAAAATTCGTCACTGATCGATGATTCGCTTTAACACAGAGATGTTGTCCGTGTATTAGAGGCCACTTCAGAAGCCTGTTTGGTTAGTTACCGGCGAACGACTGATGGATTCCTGATATCGTTCAACAGTAATTCGTACGAAGTCCTTTTCGAACTTCGGTTGGAGAGTGACTCGTTGATAGTGGTACAGTATTTGTGACTTATCGACTTTCTCCAGATACGATCAAAAGTCAGACGAATCAAGCAGAGAAGGCCTCCCGTTTTGCACCTCAGCATCATAGCCAAAATCCAGTCATTTCCAAAGAACTTCGAGCATTGGCAGGGTCATGTTGCCCCACGAAATTCTTTGACTGATGGTGATGTTATATCAGCATCTAGTCATTTTCCAACTTTCTCTTCCATTTGAAGATTTATCAGGGGATTAGACCAACTGAAGAACTCTGCATAGTGCTCGACTTATCGTTTCCGATGACCATCAGGGTCTTGTAGCAATTCATTGGACTTGCTGTGTAATAAGCCGGCGGTAGGTTTTTGTTTGCAATGGTATTCACTTCGTTGTACATTATCTTTCAGTTTGTTTCTGTCTTCCATTTTTTCCAACTTCAGCGCTTCGAGGTCCATTCATCACTGTTTGACCTTGCTGCAGCTCTTCTTGATTGCTTAACGACGGTCCGACACTCTCTTGTCTTCATCTCATTGGGGTGATGTAATAACGCCTGATTTCCCGCGTTTCTTACCTTGCAAAGACAGACTTTCTGCATTGGCCCAAGGCTGCTTCTTCCTCCTGCTGCTGAAATCAACAAGCTTGTGTGGACTATGCCTCCTTTATGACGATTCTGGAGCAGCTTCAGGGCTTGTGAGATTGCGACCTCGCTCATAGCAGCGAATTTGCTGCTAATTTCCATCTCGAATGGTCCGAGAGTGACGGGATCCTTCATATTCTACGCATCAAAGCGATCATTCCCTTTTTTCGGGATGTTCCTCCAGTTGCCGCACAGACGAAGGCAGAGCGTTGCGACCTTAAGGAAACAACTAGTTTCCCTGTCAACACCTCATTATTCTGGAGTGTCGTGGAAGGTATTTTGCTGAGCAGCACGTGATCGATTTAACTTTTGAAATGACCTCCTGACGCCGTCTACGTCTGCTCATGGGTGTGACGATGCAGCAACAGCGTTTCGCCAATAACGACACCGCGCGTGGCGCAAAGGTTTAACTGGAGGTAGCCATTGTTGCTGAAAATGCCGCTGCCATGTCGGCCTAGCACTTTGGGCCAGCTCCATGGCCTGCGCCAACGTGGGTGTCAAAGCCACCGGTGACGATTAGTAAATGATGTCATGGGAAATAACCAAGAACAGCGTTAAGGCATACTTAGAACTGGTCCTTTCACAGCTCCTTCGAAACATCGATATGGCATACACTACGAAGAAAAACGTCCTGATGTGTTTCGTTACGAATCAGCAAATAATGCTAGTGTATTCGTAGGATAATAAAGCGTTTGCCGCTCAGGAGACAGCGAAACTGAAACTCCAGCGTCGCGGCGAAAATCCTGCTTGCCAGATGAGTAGAGCTCTTCTTCAAACCGCTGAGGTCCTTGGCCTGGCAAGTGGGTCTCTGAAAGTTCCCAAATGTTTAGCGTGCATCGCGCTGCAGTGCAAGTGTCGTCGTCAAATCTATCATCACTGCTTAACGTCCATACGTTCCAGCAGGCAATAAAGAATGCAACTTTTACTTGCAGATGTTAAGCTTCTGCTAGTCACAATTCTTGAGCTGTCTTGTGGATATAAACTGCTCATCGCACAGGCGTCGTAAATGACGCACAGCTCAGCGGAACCGCTCACAAATTCTAGCAGCGAAACGCTAAGGAAGATTTACAAGATGTATATATGAAGTCACTCATTTAATATGCATAGCATAAAAATGTTTTAATGTTGTGGCTTTGTGCTTGGATAATATGGAATCACTGTTGTCCCTAAATCCTCACTGAACTTTCGGACGAATATGCGCTAACCAAGACGATCTCCAATAACTGCAGCGCCAAGTTCGTTCGAATCTAAAATATAATTACAGTTTTCCACGGGCTGAATTGTTCCGCAGATTCAAATGCTTGTAGAAAGAACTTGTACATGTAACATTTCTTTATTTGCAATTTTGCTAAGGGCTCACAGCGTGCCGCAAAGGAGAAAATTAAGAAAAGAAAATTTGCCCTCTCAGAAAAACTGGTTGAGCATAAATCACTTGCTGCAGCCCGCGACCCTTGCGTCAAGGCCAAGAGAAGCTAGGCATCAACTAGAAGGCCAACGTGTAATTTGCATAAACAAGGAATGGGTAAATCTGCTTTCACAGAGGAATTGTTTCTTCTACGATGCAGAAACTGGCGTCTTATAACAAAAGTGCTGTTACACTGTGAATACAACGGATAGAGTCTACTTCTTTCGTGCGCCAATGGTTATATGAAAACAAGATTAAATTTGGCGCAGAAAGACAATATGATCAATCGGGTGATTTGCCAATACCGGCATTTCATTCGGCGTCTCATGAGCTTCTTAAAGATACGCGGTTGGTAGAGTTTAGGTTGTTTTCTTGTTGTCTGCAGTAGTTGTTAGGTTTGAAGCCAGAAGACAAAATTTTGGTCCATTTTGCTGGTAAGGAAATTCCTGAGCGACAGGAGAATGAACCGCACAATCTTTAGCACAATGGAGCAAAACACCACTATGTCGTACCATTTCCGGTCCAGCGATCCGTTACTCATCCCATTGGTGATTGAATCCAAGTATAATTGAGTGAATTCTCTGATAAATGGAATTAGAAGCTGAAAAGATAATTTTAATATGAGCTGGGATGCGAACCCGCGCTAATCCGTGCTTCCAGTGCGAAGCCAAATACTCTTTTACGCGCCACCGATTATTGTGACCAGATTTCTATCTGTACACTGAAAATAATATCAACTAGTTATAGTATTCAAGATGTAATTAGTAATCATAATCTATTGCTCACGTTATAATAAATGTAAAATCTGGTTATGAAGGAGTTGTGCGCCACTGAAAAGAAAAGTAGCTCACTACGAAATGACGGCTAGCGCTATGAACATATGCTACCTGAGCACTGTTTACTGAAATTACGGTTTACGGTAAAAGCGTTACTCAAATGTGCCGCTGAAACTCGGCAATGAAGTTCTGGTCGTCGCAGTACGTTTTTCAGTAAGTTCTTGCACTTTTTTAAGTTTTGTAGCTAGTGCAGCTAAATTTCGTGATATATACCGTGAATAACAACTCGTCCTTCCTTGAGGCATCAAAACTATTTGAAAGATATGAGATTTAGTTCATTTCTTAAGTCTTGTGCACACCGCTAACAGTTGTTCTTGTTTACGATGACGTAATCAGATTTTAGCACGACCGAGCTTAGGTTACTAAACATTTTCAAAAGGTCATTTGCATTCCAAGGTTCGCTGTTGCTAAGGGTCTGAGTGAAGATCGATCAGAAATGAGATGAACCTTATGACTGCGAGACAGAAATGTTGAACTCGATCGGGACATCAAAGGAGCTTATTAACGTACCCAGTCGGCTTTCCCGTGGTGTGAGAAACAGATTTAGAAACGTCGCTTTGATTGAAACTAGTAGCTAGGTAACAGCCAGTTGCTTCTGGAATATCATCAACTGTTAATATACAGCTGTCATGTAAATTAAGAGAATTCCTCACTCAGGTGGTTAAAAGGATTTATTGAACTTGAACCAGCAATTTTAAAGTTCAAAATCGACCTCTTGCCACTGCATACAGAAATATCCGAATGTCTCTAGCGGGAAAGCAACGTATCTTACATTTTTCTCTCCTGAATAAGAACTATCTTTTACTCTTTTCATTATAAAATGTATTGCAGTATTTTTTGTACTGGAATGGTAGAAAAGCAGTTTGAAGTTTCGCCATTTATTTTAAGCTTTTAACCTTCCTTTTCTTAACCTATGTTCTTAAAATGTTTCTTTGATGTTAAGCGCTGTTAGGATGAGACGAAGTAAAGTGAAGAAGGGATTATCAGGTTTCAACATGTTGACCTATATTTTGCAGATCTTCTTAGACGAAGATTATTCTGTTGGTCTCTTTTGAGTGCCTATGGTACTGGGAGCCAGATGTTCGTTTCAAACGCCTTGCTCAGTTGTCTTTCGGATCGTCCAGTGGAAACAAAACCCAACCACGATATCAGCCTCTAACGGAGGACAATATCATGTGTCAGCCGATAGCGGTTCATTGTCTGTTCCATATTGTTGCTGATAGTTTTTATACCAATAAAATTTTAATGGAAAACAATCCCACCTGCCATCAGGGAAGCTTTGCTATGGTGCTAACCCCAGTCTTCTCAGTTTCAGTGGCTGTTGTCTTAAATCGTAGCTAATCACAGCATTATGTTGATTTCCGATATTCATTACTGAGATGTGGCGATTGCTTTATAGGTGTGACTTATTCCTCGGACACATGTTGGGAATGGCAAATTTTTTTACATGCAGTCGTAAGTAAGCAACTGCGTAGTAAGGAAAAATGAACACTGGAAACAGAAACTCCTACTTTCAATTGTAAAGCAAAACATACCGCGCGGTCACATTTTATTTCGATGCACTTTGCCGTTTTGACTTTTTTATACGCTGATAACTGCATTTTGATTTACTTAATTAATAGTCAAAGTTTATTGCTTTAAAGTGCGAAAAGTGTAGAAAAAAGTTAGTATTTTCATTTTGAAGGTACGATTGGGAAACAGTGGCTTCTGCCGCATGGCGAAAGTATCCGAATCCCTTGAAGCCGGAAGTGACAGGAATTGACATTCTGGGCAGAGCCGTAAGCGATGACGGTGTGCTGAAGACAACTCGCGTGATCAGGACTGAATGGCGGATACCACGTTGGGCTACGAGCGTAAGGAGCTATAGTAGAGTGCGAATATTCTCTTGAAATTGACCAAGGCGATCTAGATAATTGAATCAGTGTTATGAAACTTTACCTTAGTGCATTCTTTATTAATGAACTCCTTTGTTCTTAGGGATGGTTTAAAAGGCATACTTTAAATTTTTGATCCTTAAATATTACAGTGACAGTATGATTCTCAAAAATTAAATTCAGCCAGTTATTCAGTTTCTCGGACAGCTTATCTTTTCGAGTCGCAGAGGAAGATGCATCAGACTGTGTCTTCAATGTCCTGATCATGTATCGGCGTGTGAATTTCGGCAGAGGTAACCCGAGCCTGTAGCAGACATCTTGGACACACTACCCCAGGTTATTTTTGGCCATCTCCCGGGTCTTCAGGCGGTCGGTTAAGTAAGTAATAGCTATTTCAACTTCGAAAGCATTCCTAATCCTAACGTGTGCCCAGACTGTCGTAGCTGTACACCGAATCTCTCTCGATATCTGTACTTCGGGCCATGCGCGTGAGCTGAGTGATTTGTCTCAGAAAGTCCATTTCTGCTGCTTGTACCAGAAATCGAAGTTTTTCACTCATGGTCCGCGACTTATGACCGTAGGTAAGAACGGTGATGAAGATCGACTTGAACACCGAGAACTTAGTTTTCAGACTCAGCTCTGCTTTAGTCACAGTGGATCGGCTTAGTTCACGCAGAACGCAATTGGCTACTCCAATTCGCTGGTCGATCTTTTCCTCCAGTTTTCCATCCGAGGTACTTGAACTTCTTCATCTGCTCCACTGCCTCTCCATTAAGTGAAACCAGAATGCATTAGGCTCGTACTAACTCGTTCACACGCATTCCGGCCATTTCGCACTCGTTTGCGAACCTTTCTAGGGAGTACTGTAGATCAGTTTCAGAAGATGTTAATAAAACAAGGTCTTCTGCAAACAGCAGCCTTCTCATCTCTACATCTCCTTCTCTGATATCCTCGTCGACCTGGCTGCGCCTAAACCTCCTTTTTATGCGTGACTCAGAACAGCCTTGTGGAAGATTAACGATGAAACGTTTCAAGCTAACACCATACGCCATTTGCTCTAACGAGATACCTGCTGTCAATACATAGTGACTAAATGGCTCGTACTAACTGGTAATCAATATCATATGTTTGCAGGCACATCTATATGCTGTTGTGCAAGATACATTGATAGACTTTCTTTAGGTTCACAAAGCAGATGTAAACCGAATGAGCGAACTCCACGATTTCTCAGCAGTCTAGCGTAGGTGAATGCTTTGCTAGAGGTGCTTCAACCGGGCCGGAAGCCACATTTGTATCTTGAAGTCAGATATTACGCGGCACCTCCTTTCTAGCACCTTTGCGTAAAGTTTTCCCGGGGAAGCTCAATAAGATGATGCCTAGGTAAGTGGACCACTCCATGTCGCCTTCCTTCTTGAAACGGTTACAACAGCTCCTGTTCTCTAGCCTGTTGGTGTCCTCCCCGTAGCCACTGCAGTTTGACAGTCTCGTGTAAGCCAGAACATGCCTTGTTCGACTAATGCTTTGAGCATTTCAGGGCGGGTTTCATCGATTCCAGCAACCATTTCCGTTTTTATGCTTTGGCCGGCTTGTGTAATTTCATCTACAGAAATAGTAATATCCGTTCACGGATGCT